ACACACACACACACACACACACACACACACACACACACACACACACATATATATAAAGGGTGAAAAATCCAGCAACTCCACACAGAACCTGCAAAATGCACCATCATTCAGTTGACAGTCTTACAAATTTTCAGTGAATAACTTTGGTTATTTTTTTATTCTATAAAACCACTGTGTGTAAACTGCATCCTCTGCTACACCAATAAAAAGAACCTATTGTCTTTGGTTCACGCTGGTTCTTCTTTTGAGATTAGAAGCCTTTCTATGCGTGAGTGATTCATAGGTCAGTGTTAAGTGGCTGAAAAGAAGAAAAAAAAAAACTGAAAATAGTCAGGTACTGAACTTATACTGAGCAGCCAACATCCAAAGACAAACCTTGAAAGAATCTTTCTTCTGAAAACCTATAAAATAAGATGAAAACGGCTTAAAAATACTGTTACATTTGGCTTCTTGGAAGCAAAATATAAAGAAGTGAGGGGCAACTTGAACTTTTACACAGTAAAAKTATATGTATATGTCAGTGTTTGAGTATTTTGGACTGTTTTTGGTTGTCTTTTTTTGTCTTCATGGTTGAGTTTRTCGTTTTCTTTTTGTGTGTTCTGTTCCTCTGAGTTCCCGTGTGCCAYCAGTTTAGCTCCTGCTCTTTAGACTTGCCCTGCCCACCATTTCCCTGAAGTACAGTTATGCTAACCCACTAACAGCTAATAGCAGAGCTATTTTTTTCATTTAGGGTTCATTTAATATTTTGCTAGCTTTGAAAACCATTAGTGGACCAATTAGCTTCCACTAAATTTAGATCTTTTAATTTTRAGTCCACTAACAAAAACTATCCTCACATGCAGAACTACACACTTGCATCATGAGGTAGAAACTTCAGCATTTTCTCATTCAACAGCTTGAGTTTTTATTTGGATGTAGACTAGTTATTTTTATTTTATTTATTTTTTTAGCATTTAGCCAAGATTCTGACTTTTCTGTTTGCTTAAATACAACCATCAGGGTGGCTGTGGCGGAGTCACAGTAATTGTGACCTTGGGCAAGACACTTCGCCCACCTTTCCCTACTGTTGGTGGTCAGAGGGTCCAATGGTGCCAGTGCATGGCAAAAGCCAAATCTGTTTAGCCCATAGACTTGAATAAGAACCCTGGACTGAACCCCTCCTATGCCTTTCCCATCCCGTAATATTCGGCAGCTCCATAGTCCAAAATGCGGCACTGGGGGCTCTAGTGACTATAGTTAAATGCATTCCATGGGCCAGAGCAGGCAGCATTGAACCCTGAAACTGCTGACAAAGGCTAATGCTAAGTACYGTAAGATTGTTATTCATGTCGGCGATAATGATACTCAGTTATGCCGATCGGAGGTCACTAAAATTAATGTTGCTTTAGTAACTTWGCAAAAAGTATGTCGGACTCCACAGTTTCCTCTGGTCCCCTCCCCAACCTGACCAGCGATGACATACAGTAGTTGCATGTCGTCGTTTCACCGTTGGGTGTCCAGGTGGTGTTCTGAAAACAACATGCACTACGTAGACAATTGGAGTTCTATTTGGGGAAAACCTGGTCAACTCTAGAAAAAATAAATAAAAATAAATCATAAAAAACTTATAAAAATAAACAAATACTTTACCAGAACAAAACTGTAAAAGTATTAGATGTGGTTTATTGAACATCAGATCTCATTCCTCTAAGTCAGTGAGACCCCAAGTGGGGCCTACGGGCCAAATTTGGCCCATCAAACCTTTTAATTTGGCCCAGCACTTCCATTCATGGTGCTGACTTTATTTTTGAATTATATTATATTAAGATTAAAAATGAAATTCAAGTAACAAAAAGAGACATTTAGGTTAGATTTAAGTGCACATGTAGAACAGATACTCCTTTTTGATCAATTTATGAAATATCCCATGAACCTTTGCTGCCCGAGCATGCACGGGCTAAAAACAAACAAAAACCACAAGTCAATGCACTAGCTGCTAGCTTAATCATGATAAAAAAGGACTTTACTGCAGCTGTATTTGTATTTAATGTATTATCTTATTGCATTTGGCCACAGCGCTTGGGCAGATTTTTATTTTGGCCCTCTTGAGGAAAAAGTTTGTGCACTCCTGCTCTAAGTCTAAGTCTAATCTAAAATAATAGCTTCATCCAAACCATCAACATGTCTGCTAGAGCCCATCCCAACCAGACTGTTCAAAGAAGCGTTTCCCTTAATAACTATCCATATTTTATATCTGCTTAATTTATCTCTAATGAATGGTTATGTGCCCCAGAGCTTTAAGGTTGCTGTAATTGAATCTCTATTTAAGAAACCTGATCTTGATTCAGGAGTTCTGGCCAATTATAGACCTATAATCTAATCTTCCATTCATCTAAAAAATTCTTGAGAAAATAGTTGCAAATCAACTGTGTGAACATCTGGATATAAATAATCTATATGAGGAGTTTCAATCAGGTTTTACAGCTCAACATAGCACAGAAACAGCACCGGTTAAAGTTATTAGTGATATTCTCATAGTCTCAGACAGTGGACTTGTGTCCATTCTTGTCCTGTTGGATCTCATTGCTGCATTTGATACAATTGATCACAATATTTTATAACATAGACTTGAACTTGATTACAGGAACAGCTCTAAAAYGGTTTGAGTCTTATTTAACTGATAGATTTCAGTTTGTTAACGTTAACGAATCTTCTTCTTACACCAGAGTTAGTCATGGAGTTCCTCAGGGTTCAGTGCTTGGAACAATCCTCTTTACTTTATATAAAAACAGCATGGGATAAATTTCCATTGTTATGCTGATGATACTCAGTTATATTTATCCATGAAACMTGATGAATCTAACCAGTTGCTTAAATTACAAGCATGACTTAAAAACATAAAAACCTGTATGACTCAATTTTCTGCTTCTAAACTCCGRTGAGACAAAGGTTGTGGTTTTTGAACCTAAGCATTTTAGGAATAAACTTTGCAGCCTTTCACTTCCTCTGGATGACGTAAATCTGGCCTCCAGTTCTAATAAGATCTGGGCTTTACAATTCCAGCYTGATGAATCCTGGCATTGTCATCTTGGAATATGCTCGAACCATCAGGAAGAAAAAAAATCCACTGATGGAATAACCTGGTCATTCAGTATATTCTGTCCACATTCTTTGCACATACATACCATTGCTGAAACTAGACCTGACCAACTGCAGCAACCCCACATCATAGCACTGCCCCTACA